AGAAGCGGCAAATCAAACTACAGCTTAGCTGATTTGATGGCAGCAATACAAGAACAGCAAAAGAAACAAGAAGAACGAAAAGAGAAACAAGAAGAAAAATTACAGCAGTTCTTGAAGGAGTAAGAAAAGAAACAAGAAGAGAAATTACAGCAGTTGTTAGAGGAAAAAGAAAAGAAACAGGAATAACGAGAAAATAAACAAGAAAAGAAACAAGAAGAACGAGAAAAGAAACAAGAAGATAAATTACAGCAGTTGTTGGAGGAAAAAGAGAGACAACAACAGTGGCTAGAAAACCTGCAACAGTGGCAGCTCGAATAGCAAAATAAACAAGATAGACTACAGCAGTGATTGGAGAAGAAAGAAAATAAACAAGAAAAGAGATTACAGCAGTGGCAACTGGAACAAGAAAGGAAACAGAAAGAAAGTATCCAACAGTTGCAGGAAAGTAAAGTCAGCAGCAACTACAGGAAAGTCAACAACAGTGGAAAGAAGTACAAATGGAAAACATTAGTAAATTTAAAAGCGAATTAGCTACATTAAAGGATGGTTTATTGTCTTTTACACAAGGAGGATACATTAACCATCGACTTAATCAGCCCCAGACAATGGCAAGCCCCTTCTAGACCCCGCAGCTAAACCCTAATGCAGACATCTTCAGTCCTGTTAGAAGTCACATCCCAGATATGAATGTCAGCAATAGGGGTGATCCAGTGCAAAGGAAGCCACAGGAATTCGATGGGAAGGCACCGTGGGAAGCATATAGAGCAAAATTTGAGCTCCTAGCAGAAATAAATGGGTGGACAGAGGAGCAGAAAGCAGTATGTCTGGCAACGAGCTTGAAATGACAACCACTGGAAATACTTGGACAGTTGTCAGCAGAATTCAGGTACGGAACCCAAAACCAGTCAGAAGTCTACAGGGCCAGGTTCAGGACGAGAATCCGTGCTAAAGGAGAGAGCCTGCAAGAGCTGGCACAGGACTTGGAAAGCATGGCACACAAGGCCTACCCAACTGCACCACCCGATCTCCTCAAGTTGTTGCTGAGGGATCAGTTCGTAGATGCCTTGGACAGTCCACAACTTAAGATACAAGTGAAGCAAGCACACCCTCTCTACCATGCAGGATGCAATGGCCAGAGCTCTCGAATTTGAATCCTACGTTAAGTCCAGCACAGAGGTACCAAGGCTGGTACACTCATCAGAATTCAAGACCACAAAAAGTAAGCTTTCAGAGAAGCTGGAGGGACTTTGATGGCACTGTAACAAACCTGGGCACAAGAGAGCTCGATGCTGGCAACTTCAACACAGGGGAAATGCCACAGCAGGAAAGGCTGGCATCCAGAAAGGTTGTTGGAACTGTGGAAGGCAAGGACATATGAGGAGCCAGTGTAAGAAGAATATC